TGTTTTCGTAGCCTGTACTCGACGCGCTGCCCCAACATATGACTTGTCCCGTGTGGTCCAAAAGTGCCAGATGTGATACAATCTGATGTTTTCCCAGGAATCGTCGTTTTTTTGGAGCCCGTGTCCAATCCCGGGGAGGGCGAGGGGGCCGAGGAGGAGAGGGAGGGCGGGGCGAGGGGAGGGAGGAGGGAAGGAGGGAGGCCTCGCCACAGCCTTGGCGCTGGAGATTGCCCAACGACAAGACAGGAGGGAAGGGTGCAGGAGGATGGAGGAGGAGGAGGAGGAGGAGGAGGAGGAGGAGGAGGAGGAGGAGGAGGAGGAGGAGGAGGGGGAGGAGGATGAGGAGGAGGAGGAAAGGAGCCCTGGCATCGCCGCTCTCAGGGTCCCGCGGGGCGCCTTGGCCAGCGAGAACACGAAGGACATCTTCCCCTTCGTGGGCACCTGCGGGGGCGGGGGGCGGACTGGGAAGCACACCCAAGAGGTCCAGAGGAGGAGGAGGAGGAGGAGGAATAGGAGGAAGAGGAGGAATAGGAGGAGGAGGAGGAGGAGGAGGAGGAGGAATGTAATGTAATGTAACGTAATGGAATGCCCAGTCGGGGAAAATACACGGCACTAAATACTGAGCTCGGGCTCAGGTTACTGGCCTCGAGCTGAGGCCTCCTTGTTACGTATCCTCTCCATAAGAGCAGCCAACCGCAGCTCATATGGAAGGGCGGCCCCTGTCGCCGAAGGAAAACTCACCTCCGTAGAGTCAGGAACCACAAGACTAAAATGGCGGGGGCCCTCCGACGGCCTCTTAGGGGCCAGTCGAGCAAGTGGAACAGTGCTGTCCAGGAACCCCTGGCAGTTCCTATTCGGGGATTCACCAAGGACAAAACGGTGGATAAGCTCCTGTCCCTTCCTAGTGGGACGCAGACAGGGGCCAGCCAACTTTAATGCACGGCCCGGGACCACCCCCTTCCACACTTCAACACTTCAAACAGACATAGGTCAGCAGAGGCAGGATTTCGAGCAGATCCCGCCGCGACGATGAGGTGCCCCTGAGGGTCCTTGAACAGTTTGCCTATGAGGGGTGGCACGCCAGTCCATCCTATCGTATCGAGCTGAGAGCGCACGTTGCCACCGAGCGATAAACATCTGGTGCAATGCCACCCCGCGGGCCCGTCGATCCACGAGTGCCACCCCGTCCTGAGCCTGGAGGTTCCGCGCCTCGGAGCGCGGGGCGGGCGGGGCCACCTGATATCATTCTTATACAGCGGCAGCACAGCTGAAGCGATCTTGACAAAGTTATCCGCAAGGGCTTCGCCCCGTGCCGCCGGCCCCCTCTCTCGGAGAATGGGCCATGGAAGAGCTAAGTCATGAGGCCTTGGCGCTGTCGTGAAGCAGTATCGAAACTTCATGCGAAGCCGATTCGCAATCAGCAAAACCAACTGATCACAAGAGGGGTTACCACACCTGGCGATTGGTAAGACGTGTATGGTTTACGGGCTTGGTTACCACACCTTGCGATTAAAGGGCCGAGGGAGTTCTCGCAGTTTGGGTTACCACGCCTTGCGATGGATGTGCGTGAAGGGTGGCACCGAATTTCAGAAATGTGCAAATCCCCTGTGTTTTTGGAAACCTCCCCTGTGGCAAATCCCATGTGTTTTTGGACCCTGACCCCGCGGATCTGCGTGAGGGGTGGCACCGAATTTCAGAAATGTGGCAAATCCCCTGTGTTTTTGGACCCTGACCCCGCGGATCTGCGTGAGGGGTGGCACCGAATTTCAGAAATGTGGCAAATCCCCTGTGTGTTTGGACCCTGACCCCGCGGATCTGCGTGAGGGGTGGCACCGAATTTCAGAAATGTGGCAAATCCCCTGTGTTTTTGGACCCTGACCCCGCGGATCTGCGTGAGGGGCGGCACCGAATTCCAGAAATGTGGCAAATCCCATGTGTTTTTGGACCCTGACCCCGCGGATCTGCGTGAGGGGCGGCACCGAATTCCAGAAATGTGGCAAATCCCATATGTTTTTGGACCCTGACCCGCGGATCTGAGTGAGGGGTGGCACCGAATTTCAGAAATGTGGCAAATCCTGTGTGTTTTTGGACCCTGACCCCGCGGATCTGCGTAAGGGGTGGCACCGAATTTCAGAAATGTGGCAAATCCTTTGTGTTTTTGGACCCTGACCCCGCGGATCTGCGTGAGGGGTGGCACCGAATTTGAGAAATGTGGCAAATCCCATTTGTTTTTGGACCCTGACCCCGCGGATCTGCGCGAGAGGGGTGGCACCGAATTTCAGAAATGTGGCAAAATCCCCTGTGTGTTTGGACCCTGACCCCGCGGATCTGCGTGAGGGGTGGCGTTTTCGACCCCCCCCAGCAACTCAGACAACGCGCCCAGGGGGCGCTAAAAAGCCGGTTTGGGCCCCCCCCCCCCCCTCCCGCGCGGTCAATCAACTAGTTACAATAACCAGCAAGAAGGATAATAATCAACTAGTTACAATAACCAGCAAGAAACAAAACTGGAACACTGGAAACTACAAGCTACAACTGACACAGGAAACTGCGAACCTCGCGCCTACAGCCTGGTGGCCCCACAAAGGGGGCCGGCGGATTCGCCCTTTCGAGGGCGAGGTTGACCGAAGACAAAAATGCAGGGTCAGCACCTTCGTGCTGCATCAAAGCCTTCTTAGCATGATGGTCCACAACCGAATTCGCATCTGCAAACTCTCTGTCATCCGACGATGACGCATCGATGACTTCCTGGGTCCTGCGGGCTCTGACATGCCTGACCCCCATGGAGCCACTCCGTGCCTTCCATGCTCTGCGCAAGAGGACGAATTCCTGCAAACTTGGAAGAGGTTGCCAACTGCTGCAACTGCTGACTGACACTGCGCTGTGTAATTTTGATAGCTGCCGTGCAATCTGCTCCGAGCACCGACGGTCTGTTTGCCACCTGGCCGCAAAGAGCTATCACCACGTGCTCAGACATCGCGGGAGTCTGAGGGAAAGTGCCGCGGACGACTCCACGCATCACAGCCGCAGGCTCTGGTGCACGACCACCTCTGTCGGGCAGCGCTCCTATAGCCCAGGCCGCCCTCTGTAGTGGACGGCCCGACTTAAGCCTGGCCCCCGAACCAGGCAGGGCGATCGAGGCAGCACCAGGCACTCTCCAAAAAGGACCCTCTCTGAGAGAATCCTCGAGAATCCTCCTGAGAATCCTCTCCTGAAAAGCCTCTGCAAATCCTCGAGAATCCTGAGATTCCTCTGCGAATCTCTGAGAATCCTCGAGGATCCTATCCTGAGAATCCTCTGCAAATCCTCGAGAATCCAAAGGCACAGGACCCTCTGAAAGAATTCAGCGCGCAAGACGGCAGGCAACGCCAACAACCCGATCGAGGCCCCCTGGACGGTGCAGGGCCTCGCTGAGCCCAGGCAAAACTGGAGCGGAGGAATGGGATTGTCGTTCAAGGTATCTTCCAGGAGTCGCAACGCCTCCTCCTCCTCCTCCTCCTCCTCCTCCTCCTCCTCCTCCTCCTCCTCTCCTCCTCCTCCTCCTCCTCCTCCTCCTCCTCCTGCTCCTCCTCCTCTTCCCCCTCTTCCTTCTGCTTGTGCTCATGCTTGTCCTCCTGCTCCTCTCCTCCTCCTCCTCCTCCTCCTCGTCCTCCTCGTCCTCCTCTACGTCCTCCTTATACTCCCCCTACTCTGAAACAAATGTACTCTTGACCACACGTACGCTTGCAAGGTGCCGGCCAGTCACTCCCCCAAACCGCCAGCGAGACAGCAAGGAAGAAACACAGAGACCTTATACTATAATGCAGGTGATGTGGCGGTGAGCGTTTCTCTAAAAAGCTCCTCACGTACGCCTGGAGCTCGTCCGATGTGAACGACGTCCGCTGCAGCTGCGGCTCCGTTAGACATGATACGTGAAAAGAATCGGCATGAGCAATCACGGTTACAGTAGGGGCCCCTCCACAAGAAACCGTCCACAAAAAACCCAACCCTGAGACTCCAGGGCGTCCATGGACTTTTGGTGTTGGAACGTCACGCTTTCCATCGCAAAACCATCGAAACCCAAGAAACCCAGAGCACCCTGGAAGCAAGTAGGGTGCTTCTTGGTATGGGCCCCCACTGTACGGGGGAGCTGAGAGGAAGGCAGACAGCAAGACGGAAGCAGGGAAGTCGACTCAGAACCCACGGGCGTTGGCCGCCTCTCGCGG